CTGATGACCACAAGATCAAGGGGAGGATGGTTACTTCTGAGCACACTGAAGCACGTAAGAAAGACAATGACAGGCTTCGGTCTTCAGACTCTCAGCTCAAGTTATGCCAGAGAGCGAGAATGCTCCTGTGGTTGGCCTAAAAGTGTCTCTTCCTTCTTTCAGCTTCAGGCCCAACCTTACTGAAAATCAGAACAAATTTTAATTTTGTAGGTTTCAGAATTACAGCATGGGCTGAATACCCTGTCTCATCAAGTCTTCAGTGAAGCTGAGAAGCTTGAACCTTTGAATCACTTTGAGCTCACCATCCCATGTCTGAGGATGCTGCAAAATCCTGTAATAGCGTCACCTGTGGCAATTGCCTTGCAAAAGGATGGCTATTTTCCTCAAGATCTACCCCATCCACCCTTTGTTGCTGTTAGACTCATAAGCAGAATTAGATCTCAGCATACCCCAGGGGAACAAGTACAAAGCCTGGCCCAGGAAGAAAGAATCTAGATTTAAGATGGGTTGGAAAAATGCCTGGATTCCAGGCAGAGAGATAACCATAAATATATTCATAAAGATGGGTTTATTCATGGAGAAAACTGTAAATCATATAGTTTGTCTGGAACATAGTTATGAGTAAGACTGGAAAAGTGGGTGAGCCATATTGGGAGGCTCATTGCATGTGATTTAAATGGGAGAGGGAAGGGAAGAAGAATCAGGGAAGAATTCTGAGCAAGAATAATGTGTTCAGAGACTTACTTTAGGAAGATGAAACCAGCAGTGGTATATAGGATGGACTGTGACAGGGAGGCTAAAGTGTAGCTGGCCAGTTAGGGGCCTATTTCAATAGTCTAGGAAATAATGATAGCCGGGAGGTGGGGTGGAGATGGCCTGTGCCTGTAATCTCCGCTACTCAGGAGGCTGAGGCAGGAGGATCGCTTGAGCCCAGGAGTTGGAGGCTAGCCTGGGCAACATAGCAAGACCTTGTCTCTAATGAAACAAAACAAAACAAAAATATAAGCAAAAAACACAAAATAGACAAATGTGACTATATTAAAACTAATCCTCAGTGTTACAGGTGGGGTCTGATGTGAGGTGTTTGGATCATGGGGGTAGATCCCTCATGAATGGCTTGGTGACAGTCCAGCAAAAGTGAGTAAGTTCTCACTCTTGGTTCCCATGAGAACTCGTTGTTAAAAAGAGCCTGACATCTCTTCCTCTCCCTATTGCCTCCTCTCCCACTATGTGATCTCTGCACACATTGGCTCCCTTTCACCTTCCACCTTGAGCGTAAGCAGCCAGAGGACCTCAGCAGAGGCAGATGCCAGCACCATGGCTTCTTGTACAGCCTGCAGAACTGTGAGCCAAATAAACCTCTTTTCCTTATAAATTACCTAGCCTCAGGTATTCCTTGTAGCAACAAACAGACTAAGACACGCTGGCATTGGCGAGCTATTTGCAGCAGATCAACAGTCTGGAAAATGAACAGAACATGTCATCACCACTATTATCTGTTTATTTAATGCACTGAAGGAGGAAGTCTGAGAAGAGGCTGGGGGAACAACATAAAACACTGACAGAAGTGTTACCTAAGTGGATGCAAATGACACGACACAGTGAAATTTAGATAACAATCTGTGATTATCTTCAAAAAGTTATAATTTTCAGTTTTGAAGGCTCTGGACCCGAAATTCATAGTTCAGAGCCTCTCTTCAATTTACATAAGGTTGGGAGAGGAGGATCACTAATTGTCAGTTGTGTCTTCACACAGAGGCACTTGTTCACCTACTCACAGAGCAATTTCAGTCTGCTGACTTCCTGCCCCCAATCTCTGAGCCAATCCACAGCAAGGGGGAAGGTGTACACTGGCCAGCAGCAGGATCGGGAATGAGTCTTGCTCTGGTAACAGTGGTATCTGGTGTAAGCTCTGCACATGTCACCCCACTAAGCCTTTGGTAAATTCTACTGGGCTGGTCCCTTCTGGTGGTTGTGAGAATGTGCAGATCTCCAACTACAGGAGGCATATTTGACCAGTGGACTTAAGCTACTCATTGCTTTCTGCCCTTGAACTGAGGCTGTACTTGTTTAGGCAACTCCCAGCCAATGAGTATGACAGGGACACTAAGCAGGCCCTATTTACAAGATATGGAATTTCTCTGATGCCCAACTTTGGATTGGGAGCTCCCCTCCAGCCTTGCCAAACTATTCTTAAACTGCTCAGCAGGCTAGAATGCTTCCACCCAACTCTCCTCCCCTCTTTTTTGCTTGGGGTCAGAATTACATCCCTGTCTGGTCTGAGAGCTGCTCCTGTCTTTTCCAGCTCCCTCCCTATTATCTTTCACAGGTATTTTCCTAATAAAATCCTTGCATGTTTAGTTCCATCTTGGCATGCCTTTTGGAGGACTGTTCTTAGATATTCTCTATGACTTGACTTTCACCCCCTTTGTCTCCTCTGCAATTAGGAGATGGATCTTTTTTCATGCCATCTACTTCTGGCTAGAATCTTACTCTGACGTGTTGACGATCTAGAATCATAGTGTTCTTCTGGACTCATCTGCAAGATTTTGTCTATTGCTGTGACCTAGAAACTCACCATCTTGTCCTCGTTGTTACTATGACCAAAAAATCAAGAAACTCACCAGTTTTTCCTCCTCTTGAATATCAGCTATAAGTTGAATCAAGTTGGGCACTGGAATTTTGATCACCAGCCACCTTTATATAGTGGTCATGTAAGTTACATAAGCCTATGGCTTGCATGATTTTGGACTTTGTTCCTTTTCATGCTGGCCTGCCGTTGAGGTACCAGTTTCCCATGTGTCAAGAATTAGAGTACCAGTTACCTGTATGAGATGATGAAATGTACTTCCTTCAAGAAAGGTAATATTTTCAGCTGTTTTCAGTCATTCTTAATAGGAGTGAATTACAGATCCTTTATTGAGATTATGTGAAAGCAGAAGAGACATGAAGGCAGTGGGTATTTGAGTGACATGAAAAATATTCTAAGGAGCACAAAAGCAGGAAGAGGAAGCTGGTGAAAAGTAAACAAAGTAAACCTCATTGCCTCCATAGTTTTTCCCAATGTTAGGGAGTTCCTTGGGCTTTCTACGTATCTGTGTCATGGACTCAACACAGACAGGATGGAAATCCCCACTTGTTAGATACCTACCCAGTTACACAGCAAAGAGGAGGAATTTACATTTCCACATGGGGCATGTTGTTACAACTTAATCCTTTTGGCAATCAGAGATGGGCAATTATCCTGACCAACTTATGTTTTCAGTTTAGAAAGCTCTTCATTTTCAGGGCTTCATCCATAGTTAAATCTGGTAACCAAGTCTATGAAGAGAAGTTGTAAATATAGTAGGTATGAAAGTCTGCAGGAAAAGGTTTGAGCAGTGTAAGTACCATCTTAGAATCAGAAGGAGTGGTCAGGATCTCCTTTCTTAAATGGCGTTATCTTAACCCAAGGGAGCTGTCAATAGAGAACACCTACATTATAAGTGCTTCCCTCCTATGTCTTATCATAAGGTTAGTCAGTACTCTGCCAAGGAATTGTAAGTTCCCTGGTTCTACCACTGCTTCTTTATGTCTTCATCTGTAATACAGGCATAGAAAATATTCTGGTAATCTTGCTGCTATTCACAAAAAGAGGATGATAAAATAAGTATGAAAACACTTGGAGAATAATGTTGTGTCCTACAAATACAAGGTAATGTTTGTTACCTGTATAGACATATTGGTAATAGTTAACCAGAGCAATCATGTACCTCTAGGCTTTCTCAGTGAGTAGATTAACCTGTGGCTTTGTAACATTTTTTTTTTTTTTTTGCCATTAGTTGACTATTCACCCTAACATAGCTTTAAAATAAGTAATATCCTTGTGTGTTAGTCAGTTTGGGCTGCTGTAACAAAACAGTACAAATGGGGTGGCTTAACAACAAATATGTATTTCTTACAGTTCTGGAGGCTGGAAGTCTGAAATCAGGTGCCAGCAGGGTTGAGTTATTGGTGAGGGACCCCTTCCTGGCTTGGAGCCAGCCCTCTTCTTGCTGGGTCCTTACGTGGCAGAAAGAGAGCTAGCCAGTTCTCTGGCCTTGTGTTATAAGGACTCTAATCCTGTTCATGAGAATTTCCACCCTCACCTCTCAAAGACTCCCACCTGCAACTACTATCACACTAGGATTAGGGCTTCAACATGTGAATTTTGAAGGGATAAAAACGTTCAGTTCGTTGCACATTGGTTGGGATATCTGTAACAAAAATGATTGTTTTTGAGAATCTGACTTTGTCTTTCAAATCCCCCAGTTGTGTTTATAAACCCGGCGTCTCACCTGGCCTATTTTAAACCACATTTTCAAGAACAATAGATTTGATATTAAAAGGAGTTACTTAAGAAAACACATATGTAATTAGTTTAATATTAATTAATATTTATTATTGATATAATTTGTTATAATATGTTGATTTTGATACTAATCTCCTTGATAAAAGGCTTTGTAATACTTGGGAGCTATAAAAGTAAATTTACATTGCATTATCCAAATGTCAGTGGAGGTATCATTTTGTATAATGAATATATCACAATTTGAAATTAAGTAAGGAACAATACTATTTATTTTACTGAATAAAAATGACTTTAAAAGGAACATATTGAAGAGTTTTATTCAAGTGAATATATATTAAGAATATATAAAAGTGTATATTAAAATGTGTTAATAAAAGCCATTCTAACAGGGGTGAGGTGATATGTGATATCTCATTGTGGTTTTAATTTGCATTTCCCTGATGATTAGTGATGCTGAACATTTTTTCATATGTTTATTGGCTATTTGTCTATCTTCTTTTGAAACGATTCTGGTGTGGATGCAGACAGAAAGGAACGCTTATACATTGTTGGTGGGACTGCAAATTAGTATAACCTCTGTGGATAGAGATTCAACATGAATTTTGGAGAGGACAAATATTCAAACCATAGCACCATACAAAAAAGAATAATAGAAATTGGATTATGGCAATTTACTCTTCAATTTTATTTGTCTACTAGTATTTATAACATTAAAGGAAACAAACCTTATGGGCTGTATTTATTATAATTTTTAGTTACTTGATTGCATTTATACCACAGGTTTTTAAGAGAATTTTTATTTCATTTGGCAATATCTGGGAATATTTCACAGCTGGTAAGAAGACCTTAAAAGAAGAATGTTACTTTGCTACCGTACGTAATTAGGAAAAGAAAAAGTTTAAATTGTGTACAACACCCATGATAAATTTCAGCGTCCAAGATAAAAATATAAGTAGAATAACAATAGAAAAGAAGAAAGCATTACATAAAAGTGCGACATCCTTCTCTCAATATGTATATTTGCTCCACAGACCTAAGTTGGAAGTGAAGGTGTAATAAGAAATATGTAGCCTAACAACTGGTGAAGCCCTCTGATGACTGATGATGCTGACAGATAGTTTTATCTCTCTATAATGTCAAAATTTAAAACTTACAATAATCAAATTTTAATAATAAAAGGTAATAATGTTCATTTTTAGAATAAAATTTTAGATTCATTCTGGTACCCAGAAGTTCAACCTGTAAGTGTAGCGTTAGACTTTGGTCACAGTTTTGGCTGAATATTTAATTTTTAAAAAGACTTCCCTTCAGCTAAAACGTTATGTTTGGTATAATATTGTTATTGTTGTTATTTTTTTTTTTTACTTTTAAATGTTGGAAAATTTGTTTCCTGATTGACAGTATAAATAAATTGAGTTCCTTTGTGTTAACTTTCAAAATACACCAGGTCCGGGTGCTATGTTTCTTGGCCAGGGAAGAGGAGGTCTTGCCTGGAGCATGCCGCACAAACAGAAATGAAATACAGTAGCCAAACTCTCCCCTTTACCCTGCAAATGGTTTGTAGAGGTAGCTTGGGAATATCATATTATGATTATTTGGCTTAATTTGCTCTTCATTTAGATTTGAAATACATATTTCAAACATTTTCTAAAGGAGAAAAGAAATTATGTCAAAATGTTTCAGGAGATAATTTAAGTTAGACATAAAGAACATAGTTCTGATTATGAAGTGTTAGTGGAGCCTAAGGAGATATGATTAATACACTTTTTAGATCATGACATGATTCCTAAATGGGCTTATTTAAAAGGTGTAGGTGGTGTGAAAATCTTAATTTTTAAATAGCAAAGTTTCCACCTGGGTACTGTCAATAACTTTCAGAAATGATGATTAGAGGGAACGATGGTTAGAGGGAGTGATGATTACAGCGATACAAGGAAAATGGCAATTAACAGAATAGGAACAGCAAGGAGCTTCAGCCAGCGGAAAAACAAGCAAGGCTTCTGAAGACTCCCAACAACTCGTGTCTTCATGGGTTTCAGAGCCCGGTCCCACTGGGTCAGGATGGCATTTCTGGCTCCGGGCCACTTGCCTGGGCCCACCAGCCTAAATTGGTAGGGGCTACAAGGGCCGAAGAAAACTTCCACAGCCAATTTGGGATCTGTGAGAAACAGCCACGGCATGTTGGGCTTTGCTCCAATGAAGGAGGCGAGTTCATCCATGTAAGCAATATAATCCGTCTGTATGGTCTCGCTGTTGCCAAACCTAGAGGTGGGACAGAAAACATCGCTGTGAATGTCCAAAGTCTATGTAGAAACAAGAACAGGGAAAAGCCTCACATGTTTTACCAGTGGGAATCAATGTCAGTGTCTTCTGAAAGTAAGGAGAATAGTGCCCCCTTATCCTGTGCTTTGTAGTTTTTTCAAAGAATTTTCATATTGGTCTCATTTGAAAATTCCTCAACACTGCAAGGCAGCTGAGAAAGCTATTTTAATCCCCATTTACAAATGGATAAACGGTCTCTTGCCCAAGTGAAGTTACTAGTTCACAGCCACTGAGCTAATTAGTGACAGAACTAGGAATGGAGAGCCCAGTTCTCCAGATTCATTCTCATTTTGCGGAGTCATCTTCATTACAGGCATCTGTTTGATGTATCCTCTACATCGTGGAGGATTTATGGGCTAGAGAATAGAAGTCCACATCCATGTGCTCCCAAACTCCTTTGGTTTCTAATCCTTTCTGGGCCTCCTTTCTGTAATATATTTGCAAGAGCCCTGGAGGTCTAAAACTGTATAATGTAGATTCTCAGTCCTACTGTTCACTTGCACTTAAGAGGATTTAATACAGTGTCAGGTGCAAAGTAGGTCTTTAATTATTTGTTGAATGGAGAATGTAGTTCATAGCTGCCATCCTAATGGCTTCGTTCAGGATCATTAAAGATTAAAACAGTTCCAAGCATTCCCAAATTCTGACTTTACCATGGAAATCCTAGACCGCCATTATAATAGGTGCTCTTACCATTTGAGCTTTTTCCCCATTTTCTCATCAATATCATTCATCATATCTTTCTCAGAAGGCAAAGTACAAGTTCCTGAAAAAGAGGGAAAAACATGATTATAGTTAAGTGAGTCTATCATAGGACCAGCCTGCAATGCTCCCTTTTTAATAATGAATTATGAATCACATTAATATTTCCATTTTTTGTTACTGTCCAGCAAAATAAAATCATGAGTCGATGAATAGGCAATCATTCTGAGAGACATACAATTCATTCTTAGTCTTCTCAGAGCTGATACTTGTCACCATAATTAAAAACCATTGCTTGAATATCATTGTATCTTTGCTCTCAAACTGGTTACCAGATGTTTAAAATCAGTTTCATGGATTATATTCTAATCTTTCAATTTTATTTTAAGAATGTTATCTAGTAAACTATAGTGAAACAGAGGTAAATCAATGTCAATTTATCAAGATTTAAGGGAAAAAGTAACTTCATAGGATATAATCCTGCTTTGGCCAGAAAAGGGTATTTCCAGCAGATAAGATGTAGAATTTATTGAAGCCCCAAATCTTTCTCTGGAGAGTCAACAGTTCTGGAATGTAACTGAGGATATGGACTGTCCACAAGTCACCAAGGACACAAGAGTGCCCCAGAGACAAGATCGGAGTTGGAGTTGCCCCAGCATTTCAGGCTTATACAGGTTTACAGAGTTCTCTGAAACTCAGACCAAAATTTGCTTTTGCGCCCAGAGATACTTTAAATTTAGGATGATTTCTTCGGCAATCCTGGAATCACCTTGAATGAGATTAGAATTTCCAGCCAAGATAGGATTATTTGCGACCTACAAAGACTTGCTTAATTTCCCATTCCTGCAATCTTTATAGGGAGGGTCACTTGAACAGCTGTTGTAGATACGGCCTGGTTCTAGACCTTGAAACCTGTCTTGATCTTGGGCATGAGAAGAGACTGAGAAAAAAGAGACTGAGTTCGATAGCCCACCAGCTACTGCCACTGGGTTGCTTGTAACTAGCCCCTCTGTCCTGGTATTCTGGTTCTCCACAATCAGGTTGTTTCCCTTGTCTCCCACTTCCCCTAAGACTGAGCCTCTGCCTTGTATATCAATTCCCTAACAATTGCTTTATTTCCTTTCTTCAGAGCCCAAGTTACAATTCTTGTCCTCACCGAGAGTAAGTGTCCCACCCTTCCTTTAATGCCAGACTTTCTGGACATGAACCCCAAGTGAAAGCCTGAGTGGAAGTTCATGCCATCACCTTCCTGGATACTTGGTCTTATGATCAGCATCTGCCCATAATTGTATTCACTCCTTAGTGTGAATCTGATCCTAGCGCCTACTGCTGGAGGATGCTGCTGCCTTCCTTGCCAGACCAGACAAGTTTGTTTTTTCCTTTTCTCTTTAAAATATAGGAACTCAGTATTCTTAAACTTACAGACTGACCATCTAGCATAGCTAGAGACTTTCTGTCTCTAAGGATCCATTGCTTGTCCTTATCTAACAAATGGCAGAAAAGAAAATAGTAGCAGAAATACCAATGCTTTTCTAGCACTCACATTTTCCACGACTGTGGATATGTAAAATTGGCTGGATATTGGCTTGGAAACATCTTTTCTTATTACTCTTTCAAGCAATGAAATTTGACTGCATCTTGAAGTCAAAATTTTATAAAATTGTCATGCACTTAAGACAAATAGCTCTGGTGTTCTCAAGTCTAATAAATGATCTTGGGTAATTATCAGCTATAAGGAGTTATAAGTCACAAAAGACTCTTCTAATAATATCCGGTACTATTGCATATATAATCCTATATAATATACTTTCAATTGCTTATAAAATATAGCAACAACGAATATAGATTTCTAGATTCTCAAAATTGTATGGTATCCTTGTAATTAAGATAATTATTTTCACGAAGACCCAAAGTTATTCTCACCGGCATTCATCTTCCCCATCGATGAGCCTCTTCTTCTACTTACCTTTTATTACTTGTGCTGCCCAGCGGGCTTGGAGGTCAGCTGTGGGGATGGCTGCCCCAAGGGACTGGACAAGGCCAATTACTGCCATGGTTGACTTCTCTAGCAGAGGAGGGAAGATGCCTTTAAACAAGGTGACCTCATTGTTTCTGCTTTTGATGATGGAATCATCAAGGAAGGGGTAGGCACTATCATAGCCTGTTGCAAAAATGACACAGTCAATGGCCTCAAACTTGGTCCCATCCTCAAAAATGGCTGAGGTCTCCGTGAACTCCTTCACGTTAGGCTTAATGGACACGGTGCCACACAGGATGCGAACTGGGAGGTCATCATTAAACACAGGCTCTTTCCTCAGGGTTCTGTATGGAAAATAGAGACAATCACTAGAACTCTATTTCCCTTTTCTTTATTGGTCCACATGCAAATGGATAAAGAAAGAGAAAACTACCCAAGCTATTTTTCTGTGCCATGGAGTAGTGCCAGTAAGGTTGAAGAACAAAACTGATGTCAAGCATCATTGTAAAGTAAGAGAAGTTGCCATTCGCTGGCCCTGTCTCTAGTCTCTGTGATCTCTCTGTCCTCTTCTATGGAGCTCTTTCCAAATCCAGAATAAACACCCATGCTCAGTCCCCTGTTAAAGCTTATTTCAGGAAAAATCCTAAAGTCCGAGTACCTGGGTATTTGAATTTTTTCTTGGCTACTTATTAACTATGAACCTTGATAAGATTAAGGTTTCTTAAATTTTTGGTGCCTCATGTTTCTCATCTGGAATGACAATAACATTTGTACCTACCTCACAAGGTCCCCAGGACATCTAAAGAATATGAAGAATTTTGCATAGTTGGTCACACATGCATACTACTCAAAGCGTTAGCGTCCGTTCCTAATACAGGATACTCCAAGCTGGTCATTGCAGTGTAAAGAAAGATCAAATAGGAGGAAGAAAGTCAAAGGTGGGAGAGCTGCAGCCCGCCTCTGCAGAGGGGTGAGCTATGAGCCCTGTGCAGACAAAGGCTCACGGCAGGTGAGGGAGGGAGCACCTGGGAATTTAAACAAGGCCAGGAAATGAGGTGAGGGGCGCAGTTGGAAGCTTTGGCCGCTGCAAGTCTGAAAAGAGAGAGCGTTTGACTAGTTTTTATTCAGTAATATTTCTAAATAGTGAGGATCAATCTGAACCCAGGGGTGAACGTGAGTAAAGTTGAGGGGAAGGGCATTGTTCTTGTATGGCTGTGGACGCCGTGAGAGAAAGCCACAGGCAGATTCCGCTGGGGGAGAAACTGAGCCAGACAATGAACGAGCTTGGTTGGAATCCTGGTTGGAAAGAGCCTGGTCTTCACTGTGCTTATTACCTGCCATTTATTTTGAACTCGCCGCCATCAAGTTTTCAACCCCACCCCCACATTGAACCCGTTCTTGTCAAGGCTGTCAGAACAGTGTGTCAGATCAGCGGTGCACTCTCATTTCTCATTTTACTCAAATTATTAGTAGCGTTTAACACAGTTGATGGCTTCCTCCTTCTTAAAACCCATTTTGCTTGCAGGTCATCACTCTCTCTTGGTTCTTTTCCTACCTACCTGGCTATCCTTTCTCTAACTCCTGCTGACCTCCTGTCCTCTGAACAATGGCATACCGCAAGACTCAGCACCCAGACCTTTTGTCTCCTCCACCTATACTCATTCTTCAGGAGATGTCATCTAGTTTTTTTTCTTTAAGAACTACCTATTTTCTAACGATCCCAACATTTTAACTTACGCTGTGAACCTCCCCCAACTTGTGTTTCCCACTGCCGCTGAACATTCGTCTACCTGAATGTCTAACGGGCATTTGAACTTTAATATGTCTAAAGCGAGACTTCTGCTTCTCCTGCAGTCTTCCACATCTCAGTAAATGTCACCTCCATCCTTGCTCAACTTAGTCTTGAAGACATCCTTGATCCCTTTCTTGTTCTCACATCCTTTATCAGTCTAACAAAATCCTGTTTGGGTCTACCCTCAAGCTCTCTCCAGAATCTGCCTGCTCTGACCACTCGCTCTAACAATCCTAGTTCAGGACATCATCCTCTCCCACCTGGGTTTTGGACAATAGCTTCTTAACTGGTCCTTTTACTTCCTTGCCCTACTCCTCTACATTGCATGATAGCACAGCGGCCAGAGTGACCTCTTCCATGTTAACTTAGGTCTTGTCTCTGCTTTGCTCAGATGCCTGCCATGGCCTCTCGTTGCTGTCAGAGTAAAAGCCAGAGTCCTCACGATAGTCTATAAGGCCCAGCATCACCTGACTATTTTTATTTTTTTGGTTTCCACCTCCTGGTACTCTCTCCTCATCCTCTTTTCTCGAGGAAGAGAAGCCCCTTGCTGTTTGTGGAACATGCCAGCCATACCCCAAAAAGGCAGTGACCTGGCTGTGTCCTCTGTCTGGAATCTCCTCCCCGAGAGATCCTCATAGCTCTCCTTCCTCCTGAGACCTACTCTGAGGACTCTACTGGGAACTGTCCTGATGGCATCTGCCATCACCCTTGCCTGCTTTGTCTTCTCCACAGCACACATCGCCGTGTGATCTTCTGCTAATTGTTCCTTGTCTGTTTCCCACCGCTTAGAGCATGGGCTCCATGAGGACAGGGATTTTTGCCTGTTTTGTTCAGTGCTGTATCCACAGGGCTTAACACAGGAATTGGCACATGATAAATGCTTTTAAATATTTCTTGAGTTAATGAATTCAACTTGATGTTAAGAGTTTATAACTTGGGTTTTTTTTTCTTCCATGTATACTACTGGCTTGGAGGATGTTATAGGAGAAGGTGAGAAGGAGAGCAAAGGTGGAATCATTGTGGCATGCATGTGCCCAGTGGGAGGGCTACATTCGGGGGTGGGTGATGAGAGTATAGGACAGAGAAGGTTCTCTTGCCTTGTTTAACTTAACTTTGCCATTAAGCGAAGGCAATAGGGCAAGTGGCTAAGAGGGAGGGGCTCTGGAATCAGCAGATCGGGCTTTGTTTTGAATGGTGCTTCTGTTACCCAGCAGTGGGACTGCAGTAATGTTATTAACTACACTGACTCTCAGTTTTCTCATCCCTAAACAGGGGATACTAATAGAGCCCTCTTCACGGTTATAGTGCGGATAAAATGAGATAACATATATTAGAGCCTTTGAAAGCCTTGCTAAGGCTCTGACATGTATTAAGTGCTTCAAACATGTTAAGTATGATTATCATTATTCTAGGGACTAATTCCTGAGATATTACACAATGTTCCAGCTGAGTAAACCCAGTAAGGAGGATTGCAAAATAGGAAATCACTCCTGATTTTTCATCCTTTGATATGTGAACTGTAATTACTCCACTGATGTTTTGATTTGTTTTGGGGTTACAACACACATTGAAGGTTGTTGACACAGAAGCAAAAGCCAGCAGGCATATCACATGCAACTCTGCATTACCCGTTTAAAGGCATCAAGCCATAGTTCTCGTGCTTGAATCTTGCATTCATCTGCTTCACGTACCACCAGTTCGAGATGGCTGTCGGTAAGTTGTTCCTGAGCAAGGTTTCGAATCGAGTGACAATCATCATGTCCCAAGGATAGCCATCGTCCCAGACCCGGCTCATCACCCAGGAGCCACTTCTGGAGCTGATGATGACCTTACGAAACACCAGTTCAACCGTGAACATAGTGACCGTTTGTAGCAGACATTGTGATATACTCCCCACATCCCCCTTGGGAATGGATGTATTGCCCCAGCTATTGAGAGTGGTGCCAGAAGCCACCCCTCAGCTGTCAGCTTCCTTTGGGAGTTGTTTTGGCTTAAGAGAGGGTCCTCACCCAAGGTCTTACACTGTCTGAGCTTCCTGCTCTAGTGACTTGTTGATGCAGACATACAAAGGCCCATCCCTCATCCCAATTTCGGACAATGCCGAAGATCACCCAGCTTCAGAGTAAGGTAAAGGGAAGCTTACTTCCCTTCCTGCAGAGGTATTGATCCTGAAAACACTCCCAAATAAATTTCCTGATTCTGATCTACATTCAGGGTCAGCCACCCTGTCGTACTGTTGTAGGGAAATTTTTATATGTTCATCAAATCTACTCTGGCATGGGTGACCAATAACTAAATTCTAGTCACATTTACCCTAGTGCTTATCCGACTATTGCTGTCTACAAACAAGCAATTGTGATCTCAAAATAGGCATTTGGAACTAAAATGCGTGCCAGCAAGAAAGCAAGAAATTTGGAATCAGAAAACCATAGGCTAAAATCCTGGTGCTCCTATTTACTAATGATGTGACTAGGGGAAAAATTTAATTTCTCTAATCTCTTTTTCTCATTCCTAAAATAGAATCAGAACTCACCTCATCAAATCTGTGAGAATTAAATCAATGTGATAACCTACGCAACACGGCTGACATTACCCGGCATATAGGATGAGTGCTGTAAATGTCAGTTTCCTTTCCTTCCCATTCTGGTTTGTTAATCTCTAAGAATGCAGTTTTTCAAACTTTCTTTCTCTTTTTTAAAGGTAATTTTTACACAAAATGTCATTTCAAGGCATTTATTATAAGAGAAGCTAGACAAATAAGAGATTGAAAGATCAATTAAGTTGAGTCTCTAAAATTGATCTTTCTTCCCTCTAGTTTTTCACATACACAAATAATCATATACACAAGTACAAATTTCTTAAAACTATGGTTTCATTATATCTTTCTTCAGTTTGAGAAATGGAAATGATTTACCTTTATTTATGGAGAAATCCAAATTTTTCAGCCTGTCATTCAAGTCCTTAAAATATATGACATACCCTGACTCCAATCTTTCTTTCCTATCTTAATTCCTGTAGCTTCTCTATTCCTTGGAATCAGAAGGCTTAGCTTTTAGTCTTCTAACACTTTAGCAGCTCAAATATTAATTTCCTCTATGACTTTCAAGAAGACAATTGACATTTCTGGTCCTCAGTTATCTTTTCTGTAAAATGGTCATAATAAAACTCTACTACTTTCTTCCCACAATCAGAGGAGCTCATGTATATGAAGATATTTGAGTACCATACTGCATCATATGAATTGTTAATATTAAGAAACTCCATTCCAGCAAGATGAATCTACAATAGTCAAACATGCAGTGCTCATTCCTGTCCTCATACCTTTGCTCATACCATTTTCCCTTCCAAGAATAGTCTCTGTCACCTCTTCAATCATATGATCTATATTTATCCTTTATCCAAGGACTGGTTCAGTTTACTTCCTTTGTGAGGACTCCAGGTCTGGAATCATAGCATTTAGTGCCTGAATCATTTGTTTATCTTTCATCCCAGTGGCGGTTCTAGTTCCAGAGCAGGAATCATGTCTGTTCCATTCACCACTCTCTCTCTAGCACCCAAGCCAGTGCCTGGTACATAGCAGGCCCTCAATAAATAGCCATGGAATGAATGTATGCATGAATGAATAAATGAATTAGTCTACATTGCTTAAATCATGTTCCAATCCTTGAGTCTCTAACAAGCCCAAAAAGTAGGTTCAATTTTTATCTGTTGTACCATAGAGAAACCTGAAATTCAAGGGAATGAAGGACTTGCCTAAGAGTCTCAGAGTCTTAACCTTAACTCTGAATCTGCTCTGGTTTTAGAGGTATTGATCAGACACATTAGGCACCATATGTCTTGATATTGTTGTATGACAACATCACTCCTTGCCAATGTTCTGCCTTTGCCTATTAAGTGATTTAAAACCTTACCTGTTGCCTAGGGAAGCTCAGCTACACGAAACAGCACTTAGTTTTCACATCAGATACCCTCCGCCCACCCCATTTCATATCACACTTTTCAAATGATAATAACTGTTTCTGTCTCTTTAATGATAGTGCCCCGAGTAACGGGGAGGTGGTACCTGTTGAGCTGTGTGGCTGAGTTCCGTGGCAATGTCACAGCCCGAATTCCCCAGGCCGATCACCAGGACTCGCTTTCCCTTGAATACCCCCGGTTCCTTATAGTCCCTGCTGTGGAGGCATTTGCCTTTAAAATGTTTTAGTCCTGAGTGAAAAATGGGAAGCATAGGAATCATTCTGATTTCCATTAAAAAAACCAAACCACTTTCACAGAAGTGATCTTGTGAGTTGATATACTCACAATAATATGGCATTTTTACACTCCAAGTACATTAGATTTAGAAGACGTGTATTTAAATTTAACCTGTTTGTACTTTGAGGAAAAAAATAACATTATCAAGATATTCACTTTTGCCAGATGTATAGATGGCAGTTTGAATTTCAGCATTTCAGCCTTACCTGGAAAGGACTCTTCTGGTATGTTGGGGTACACATGATGTCCAGAACAAACCATCACAGCATCAAAGATAGCTGATTCTTTTTTGCCGTCTTTTTCAGTGGTAATAGCCCATTGGCCGGTAATAGAGAAATCAGGACACTTCTTTATACTGGACACAAATGTCTAAACGAAATATAGAAAGAAACCTCCTTTTGTGAAGGTACATATTATGAATTTCAAATTCCCTCAGAATAAATCAAAACACTAAATTATGCACACACACACACACACACACACACACACACACACACACATCCCTGCAGGGTTTTTTGTGAATGAGCAGTATTTTCTGCAGTACAAGAGTGACATCTCTAGGAGATATGACAGTGAATTTAATTGTAGCGTACAAGAGGTGTACACCATATATAGTAAGTAATTTGGCGACCAATAATTTTTGTAACAACCACTTCGTCGCACCTCTCTAGCTATTTCTTTTTTTAATAGTATTGTTGTGTTAAAAGATATCTTCTATATTCAGGATGTACATTTTTCTCAAACTTTAGTGTGTATAAGAACCACCTAGAAAGCTTTTTAAAATACAGATTCCTGGATCACATTCCCAGATGTTTTAGTTTAGTAGGTCAGAGGCAGAGCATGAAAACTTGTTTCTAACACACTCCCGGGTGATGTTGATGCTACTTGGATGACACACTGAGAAGCTCTTGACTAGATTACCAATAAACATTTATTTGCAGCTAAATGGCTGCCTGCTAGTGTGCTTCCCCTTTAAAAAAATCTTAATTTCTTCTGGTCATATTGGAAAGAGACCTCTATTTGATATTAATTGTTCTTAAAAATTTTATTATGTAGTATTTCATACATATTGGAGAGTTTAAACACACATGTGACATTTTTGATACTTATGAAGGATAATAATAAAATCAGCACTTATAAATCCATAGGATTTTGCACATCATTTATTTAGAATAACTCTGATATTATTTAGTTATGCTATTGCAAATGACACCTTTTTTCGATTTTAATTTCTGTTTGTTGCTGGTTTACAGAAATGTAATTGATTTTTATATATTGTTCTTATATACCACCACCTTGCCTAATTTTTTTTATTGTTATTAGTTCTAATAATTTATAGATTCTTTTGGATTTAGTAGATAGGCAATCATATCATCTATAATAATGATGTCTTCCTTTTTTCAAGTTGTCATTCCCTTTATTTTTCTTTACTTACGGTACTGTTTCTTAAATTTCTTAAGATTATTGAAAATAAATAGCAATAATAAGGAATCTTTATTTTGTTCTGGACTTTAAGGGGAATGCTTCTAACTTTTCACTGTTTAGCACAGCATTGTCCGATAGCAATATAATATGAGCAACACATGTAATTTTAAAATTTCTAGTAGTCAAATTAAAAAGTGAAACAATGTATAATTTAATCCAATTCTATCTGATATATTTATGTTTTAATATTTAATCAAAATTATTAAATCCAGTCTGTATTTTATATGTACAGCACATCTCAGTTTTGTGGCTAGTGGTACCATTTGAACAGGGCAAATTTAACATAATGCTTGTGTATATTTTGATGAGTCAAGAAAATTCCCTTCTAATCTTAGTTTGGTGAGAATTTTCCTTTTTTGTTTCTTTCAAGCACAAAGGAGTATTACATTTCAGTTAATAGCTTTTCTGAATTTGTTAAATAAACATGATTTTCTGCCTGTAACAGGTTTTTTTGTAGTAAATTATAGATTTATATTTCATAATATTAAAATACTTTCATATCCTTCAGCCAAACTCAACTCAATAAAGACAGTTAATCTTTTTAAATACTCTGTTGGGTTTGTTTTGGAAGGATTTTTGCATGAATTTTCATGAAGGAGATTGGCTTGTAATTTTCCTATTTCATATTATCCTATCTGCTTTTGATATCAAGGTTATAATGTCATAGAATGAGTTTGGGAATCACACCTCCTTTTCTAGTCTCTGAAAGAGTTTATAAAATATTGAAATAATTTATTCATTGCAAATTTGAAAGTACTCACCTATGGAACTGTTTATTTTCTTTATGGGAAGATTTTTAATTTCTAGTCAAAGGAACTACAGATCATCAAAGGGCTATTCAGGCTTTCTACCTCTTCTTGAGTGAATTTTGGTAAATTTTTTTAAAAAAAGATTTAAATAATTTAACCAATTTAAAATATTATCTGGCACACACTTTTATAGTATTTCATCTGCATCTATTTTGTCTACCTTTTCATTTCCAATATTATTTATTTGTGCCTTTGCTAATATTTTTCTTAAATTGCCAGCTATTCATCTGTTTTTTATTTTATTAAAGAATAAATTTATCAAAAAATAAATTTATCAAAGAGTAAATTTTCAATTTTATTAATATGCTTTATTTTCTATTTTATTAATTTCTTTTTATTATCTCCTTCATTCTCTGTCCTTTCAGTTTATTCTGCTTTTCTTTTACTAATTTCTTAAACTTCCTTACCTTACTAGTTTTTAAGTCTTTTTTACTTTCTAATATAAGCATTTATGTTTAAAATTGTCATGAAAGTATAGCTCTCTATGCTTCCTACAAATATTGATATTAATATATAGAATCTAAATTATTATCATTTATAAATACTTTTAAATCCTCATTGAAATTTCTTCTTTGACTTATATGTTATTTAGAAAAAAAATAATTTTTAATTTCCAAATTCATGGATATTGTACACATTTTTTTTGTTGTTGATTTCTAAGTTAGTGGCATTTTAGTCAAAGAACTCTCTGTGGTCAAATTATATGAATTTCCCACATATTCTTGAGAAGAAGATATTAATTTATTCTCTAAATCTAGAGTTAGAGAGGTCACACTGTTAAAAATGTTGACAAATAAGAAAGGGATAGTGAAAAGACACAAATGAAAATCCAATAATAGACATGGACTTCCTTATCATTATGTCAAAATTTAATTTGTTGACAGCATCTTACCTTAAATTGTATGTATTTCAGGAGGTTCTTTTCTTTGGCAAATGCAATTATATATTCCTGGATCTTGCTGTTGTGCATAAAGTTGGGAAAGTCATCAGGATATGGGAAGTCTGGGAAACACATCATCTCCTTGGAAGAGTTGGTAAAGACCGATTTGTAAATGCTAGCCCTGCCCTCTTCTGCATGGTCCTGTGAATGTATAGTTTCAAATGGAAGAGAATTGGTAAAAAAAAAAAAAAAGGGTACTGATCATGTTCAGGGCCAGTCCCAAGTAATTACTGTCATTCCTTAGTATCCACAGGGGATTGGTTCCAGAGCCCCTGTGGACATCAGTATCTGGGATGCTCAAGTCTCTTATATAAAATGGCTTGTAGAATTTGCATATAACCTATGCACATCCTCCTATATACTTTAAACCATCTCTAGGTTACTTATTAGTATAAGTAATGCAATATAAATGCTAAATAAGTAGTTGTTGTGTTGTTTCTAACATTTGTATTATTTTTATTGTATTGTTATTTTTTATTGTGTTTTTTTCCCAAGTATTTTCTATCTGTGATTGGTTGAATCCTCAGATGTGGCACTGTAAATGCAGAGGGCCAACTGTATACTCATTTGAATTGGCCTTATCCACAAGTAAATTCAGAAATATGACATATAAGTTAACTTTACTTAAATAATTAATGCTAATCAAGGGAACTTAGAATATAGAAGAATATACATTTCTTAATATCTTTTCTAAGGGAAACAAATTTTGAATATCATTACTTTTTTTTAGGAAGATGTAAGTAGAATCCTTTTTTTCCTTGATCCATTAAATATGGAGCCAGATATTTTCCAAAATTTATCTTTCAGTGATTTTAATGTGTCAACTTATGAGCATGAGCATCTAATGGTCAATTTATAAAAACAATGGCAGATGGCTGTTAAAAGATTTGTAAATGTGAGCATTTTAAAACTTAATCTTCTAAAAATTAAGCTTAGAATTTCTACACTGTATAAAATAATTAGTACAACTCTTATGGAAAACAGCTGTAGATTCCTCAAAAAACTAAAAGTAAACCTACCATTCAATCCAGCAATCCCACTATTGGGTATCCGCATAAAGGAAAAGAAGGCTTTTCATCAAAAAGATGCGTGCACTCAAATGTTTATTGTAGCATAATTCACAATTGCAAAGATGTGGAATCAACCCAAGAGCCCATCAATTTATGAGTGGATTAATAAAACGTGGTATATGTATACCATGTAGTACTACTCAACCATTAAAAAAAGATGAATTAATACCTTTTGCAAACATCTAGATGGAACTGGAGACCATTATCCTAAGTGAACTATCTCAAGAATGGATATACAAATACCACATATACTCACTATTAAACTGAAACTGACTGATGAGCACATATATGCACAGAGGGAAGTAAAACTCAGTGGAAATCAAGCATGGGGGAGGGGGTAGGAAAGGAGGGGCACAAACCTACCCAATGGGTACAATGAACACTATTTGTGGGATGGGCACAGCTATAGCCAGGACTCAAGCATTACAAAAGCAACTCATATAACATAAAACATTTGTACCCCCTTAATATTTTGAAATAAAAATTAATAATGTGTTAACTATTATGAACCTAACACCTAGAATTTATAGGCATTGCATGCCTTTTGGGCATTTATGTAGCTAACAAAGATTTAACTTTCAGCTATGTAAAACTCTGAAATTGGCTATACTAACTCTGAGAGGCTATAGAACTATGCTAATAAAACCTTAGAGGAGATATTAAGTGACGGTGAAGAAAGAAAAAGAACATTAAAGAAAGAATGATCAGCGATAAGAAGCCTGAGACGTTGTGTTGTGGTTCTCAATCTTAGCCACACACTCGAATAAACTGGGGAGCTTTAAAAGAAACAGAGACTTAGGTCCCCCCTCAGAGAATTTGATCTGATTGGCTGGGAGTTTTAAAAGCTCTTCAGGGAACTCTGAAGTGCAGCCAAGTTGATAGTAATAGTCTCGAGTTAAACAAATAGAAGCTAATGACCAACAAATAGCGTTACTGTGGAAGAGTGACCATAGAACACATTTGTTACAGCTGTGAGCTCTGCAAAGCAAGCTGTTGAAGTGAGTAAAAGGCATTAAGTTAAAAAAAAAATACTGGTAGGAGCATGAATAGGAAAACGTGGAACCTCAGTTTACCTCTCTTGAACCACCAAGGTATATTATGACTGGACACAGGTTTAGGTGAAATGACTTTCTTTCTCAGGGGCTCTCAAACAATAAATTAATAAGTCTAAATTTTGGCCTGAAGTTTCATGATGAAAGCTCAGATTGCAGATCTCTATGTATAGTTGCTAGTTCATAATGGAAGCATTGAGCACTAGGAATTTCTAATTAGGGTTGATATAACTCAAAGTTGTCAGGGCCTTCGGAATGTGAATTTTTGGTATATTATTGTAATATTACAATCCTGTCAAAAGCCAACGTGGCTGCAGACTGATTATAGACAAGCAACTATTAACAAATAGTTAATTAAGTTGTTGCCATGCTCATTTCAGAAAACGGTGTGATCTTGATCTAGGGCATGAGTTTTCTGTTGGTCATGTGCTCTGTTGGCCTTGTTAGTGTGTTTGTAGGGTGGGAAAGCAAAGGAATTTGTAGCATTTGGTGAGTTGAGCAGTTTGATAGAAACGATAATCAGCATAAGGAGAGAGGAAACATTAAAGAACACGTTGATATACAGTCTAGGAAAAAAAGCAGAGGAAGTTAAAAAAGTGTTGTATGCTCAGAAAAAAGCTTCTATTCATGAAAACCTCATGCTGAAATTCAAAAAATTTACTGATTTACTGTTTGGGGAACTCTTGAGAAAGAAAAACATTTCACCTAGACCTGTGGCCCAGTCATAAATTATTTTATTTTCTCTGTGATCAAAGAAAGAGGGAGAAATATGTTATTCTGACTCTTGATCAAAGTTAGAAGTCAGAACTAGAAGGACATAGGAAAGCGCTGTAGGAAACAGCTTCGAAAGTATAAACTAGCTGCACTCTTAGTGTTTTTCACACTTGACTAATGATTAGGATCCCTCTAAAAGAAAACATAAGGGAATGTAAAATGCTGACTTTAGAAATGAAAATACAAAATTAACGCAATTTTATATCATAATCTCATAATGTGAATACTAGTATATTGCCACAGACTCCTAAGGGTGTTTGAGAAACACTGCTGTTCATGACATCATTTGAAATCTATAAGTCCCCTCACAGTGGTAAACTCTCAATAGCCAATGATATTAGTTTATTGTGGCTGCTGTAAGAAATCACCACAAACTTTGATGGCTTAAAAGAATAGGGATTGGCCGGGCGTGGTGGCTCACACCTGTAATCCTAGCACTCTGGGAGGCCAAGGTGGCTGCATCGTTTGAGCACAGGAGTTCGAGACCAGCCTGAGCAAGAGTGAGACCCTGTCTCTACTAAAAATAGAGAGAAATTAGCTGGACAACTAAAAATATATAGAAAAAGTTAGCGGGGCATGGTGGTGCATGCCTGTAGTCCCAGCTACTCAGGAGGCTGAGGCAGAAGGATCGCTTGAGCCCAGGAGTTTGAGGTTGCTGTGAGCTAGGCTGACGCCACGGCACTCTAGCCTGAGCAACAGAGTGAGACTCTGTCTCAAAAAAAAAGAGAAAGAATAGGGATTTTTTCTCTCACAGTTCTGGAGGCCGGCAGACGGAAATCAGTATCACTGGGCTGCAAACAGGGAGTTGGCAGGGCCATGTTCATTTCCAGAGGCTCTAGAAGAGATTCCATTCCTTGCTTTTTTCAGCGTTTGGTGCATGCCAGCATTCCTTGGCTTTTTCAGTGGCAAGAGGCCACCTATATTCCTTGGATTGTGGCTCCTTCATCCCGCTTTGAGGTCAGACCATAACATCTCAAGATGTCTTTCTCCTGAGGTCATCACATCACCTTCTCTCTTCTTTCTGTGTTAAATCTCTCTGCTTCCTCTTTAGAAGGACACATGGCATTTGGGGCTCACCCAATAACACAGGAAAATCTCTCTATCTCAAGATTTTTAACTTAATTATATTTGCAAATGTCCTTTTTCCTGATAAAGTAACATTTACAGGTTCCAGAAATTAGGATTCTCTATCTTTGGCCATTATTCCATTGTTCAGCCTACTACACTCCATCCTCTGGCCCCCAAAGAGTCACACCCATCCCACATGTAAAATACATCCACCCCATCCCAACATTTCAAAGTCTCAACCCATTGCAGCATGAAATCAAATTCTAACTCTCATCGGTATATTATCAGCTCATAAGTCCCAAATCACATCATCGAAACAAGGTACGGGTGAAATTGTGGGCATGGACCATCATGGGGCAAAGTTCTTTTCCATCTGTGGATCTGAGAAACTAGAAAACAAGTTATCTTTTTCCAAAATACAATGGGGGAAGAGCGTGGGTGACATTCCCATTCCAGAAGGGAGAAAAAAGAAGAAAGAAAGGAATCACCAATCCCAAGCAATTTTGAAGCCCAGCAGAACCAAATCCATTAGGTTTCAAGGCCTGTGAATAATCCTTTGTGGCTCAAGCCCCTGCCCTCTGGGCCTGAGTTTCTATGCTCTGGGCTATCCTTTCATTTTCTCGAAGAGTAGCACATGTTTGCAGTTGAGTAATAGTTTTATCAACCTATGATGCCAGGCTCAAAGTCTTCCTTGAGCAATGAGAAAAGCAGCAAAGTCTTTTGCTGTGTTTCCCAAAGTTTTGCAAAGTAAATTTGAAAATGAGGCTTGGATTAAGATCACTGTGTAGAAAATGTTGCCAAGCCAAGAGGCCACTTGGTGCAGTGCCATCTAGCAATTTGTAAAGGGATAAAGAATGTAGGCTGGAGAGAAAGACAATCTGGAATTGGGGTCTTATCTCCACCGTTTACCAGCCGTGTGCTTTTTTTCTTTTCTTTTTAAGCTTCAGATTAATTTGTAAAAGAAAAAAAACCATACCCAGCTTCTAGGATTATTATAAAGTTAGAAACAAATGGAAAATCATTTGACAGCTAGGAAGTGCTCAATAAAACAGACATAAGAGTCATCACTATGCAAATTTGAAGCCTGGCAGCCATTCCAGTAACGTAATCTGAGCTCCCCAACATTGTACAAGATGCCAGGTGGCTTCCAGAGTTCTTTACAGTGCACAAAATATCTATATTAATAAGAATAATATCTCATGTCTTTAGAGTATTTGATGAGCTTTACACATACTGTTTCATTAAATATAACCATTTTATTGAGGTGTATAATATAATACTGATTTTGTATTTGAGAACAACATAGTGGCTTAAAAGTGTCCCTTTTTAGAGGATCTTCCTTAATTTACATATATAGTAGTGGGCTTATCAGAAGAAAAATAGGACAGATGGGACAGGCTTGGCCGGGCAGTGTTCCTAAGTTTAGAGATACTGATGGAGTGGAGGGCACAGGGAAGCCCCCACACCTGCCGTTGTCAGGCGACACGAGAAGTGATTGAATGAGTGCATATATGCGTGTTTGCGGATGGAGTCCTTTCCCTGAGTGCACAGAAACAAAAGGGAACTGAAGAACTACGAAGCACTATATTCTGTTCTTGGTTCCTTTGGCAGCTGTGTCAATTATGTGGTTTCACACAACCATAGTTAGCACCAGAAACTTTAAACTCTGTGGCTCAATCACTAAGAAGACCTTTGGTAACCTCAACAAAAGAATGGAAAAAGCCATTGAATTTTTAAATGAGTAACTCATTGCATAAACCTAATCACTATTTGCCAAAGATTTTATGCCCAAGTGGCTCTTGTTAATGATTTGTCATGGGTGAATTCTGTACACAGAGGGCTGTGAAGCCCATTGTCCAAGTCACTTCTGACTTTCCCGCCTGCTCCTGGTGTTGTACCCTGTGGATTCCAACCCTAACAGGGGCAATAACTGCCCTGGTGACAGGTTTGGAAGCCTGTGCTCAAGCAGCATGTTTCTGTACACTTCCCAACTCACGTCCCCATCTATGGCAATGATGCCCTACTCACTGAGAACTTCCACAGGCCCCCGATGTCATCGCTCCTCTCAAAGCAGGTAGGCTGCAGCCCCTCCTCCAGACAGCTCCTGATGGAGGCCAAGCCACTGACACCAGCTCCGATGATGGCCACTCTCTTCCCCATGGTCGCCTGTGCAAAAGCCCAGAGAACAATTCTAGCAACAGGAGGGGCTGAAAACATATCTATCTATCTATCTATCTATTTATTTGTTTATTTTGGTTTCCCCCTTTGGCTTAACAAGAAACTTCACTTTTGCACCCAAGAAAAAAATGGAATTTCTTTTAGTACTCTACCTACATTTTGCACTTCTCTCAAATTTCTAAAGAGAATCTTTTTTTCTGAAAAAAGAAGCACTTTTTTCAGCTAGCTCTCCAAAATTAAGAGTCTAATGATCAGCATATATATTTAGCTTTCTTGCCTTTGGCCTTTTGTCCTTTTTTCTCTACCAAAGAGAGTAAGCAGGAGAAAAAAAAGGAGATTCGCAACTAAAACGTGTATACACACATCCAACGACCCAAACATACACATATATATGGACATGTGAGTGAAGAAACAAACATGTATGTGTATATGTGCACACACAGACATGTATCTCTATCTTCTTTCTACTCTGACACAAAATTTGATGAGGAACAAGATCTGGGGGTGTCTATGTTTCAGCATGCCATGTAGTCACCCTCTTTCTTTCCCTAATAATATTCTTCTCAGTTACATAGAAAAGGCAAGTCCTTACCTAAAAACAACATCTTCCCATTAGCTTCTACCCCTAATTTCCATTCCCTCCTAAGAAAATTACATTTCCTAGCCTTTTCCTGTTCCTGACACTATCTTTAGGCTCTACTACTACTTCTCCCAGTATTTTTTTCTTTTTAGACAAAAATCACAGACTTACGCAAAGAAATAGACTTTAGTGATAAAATCATGATTCTCAGGAACAAATGAAGAAACTGCCTGCATTTTACGTCATTCTCATTCTGTATTTGGTACAAAACTATAGCATGTTCCTTCTTCTTTTACCATCCCACTCTCCTCCCTCTCAGCCCTTTATAATATCAACTTTTTTCTGTTTTTACCTTATCTTTGTCTTCCTTTCTTCTGTATGTCTAAGTCTTGTTCAAGTTGTCTGAGCAGTTTGAAAGAGAAAATGCTTTCTGAGCCCACACTCTTGGGGATTATTGGAAAGTGGGAAGAGCTGCTCTTAAAGAGGTAGTCATTTCTTGGTCTTCTAATAGGTGAGCTCACACCAAGTCCCTGTGATTGGCATGGGGTGGGGGGAATCTGGCCAGTCTCTGTGGCTGTTCAGTTTCTGCTTTTCTGTTGGTTTTGGTACACACAATCTGCTGGTCACACTCCTGGACCTGTGGCCCTGGGAATCAGGTAGTTTCTCCCAAGTGATTTTGCAGTTCTCTACTCCATTTCATTATGTGTTATTTCAAAGTTTACCTTATTTTCCTCATTCCTACTTCTTTTGTGGATACCTGTTAGTAGTTCTCCAAACACTAGCGAATTAGCTATTTAATTGAGATAGCCCACCAGCAACGATGGCTTTTCTTTCTTTTTTTTTTTTTTTTTTTTTGAGACAGAGTCTTGCTCTGTTGCCCGGGCTAGAGTGCTGTGGC